CATTGTTAGCATTTGAAGATACTGGTACTTAATCCTCTTACAGAAAATTTGCCTCTAAATTTGAAGCTGGAAAGTCACTGGAACAACTGAAAAACAATATATGGCTTTTTTTTGGTATGTGTGTTAAGAATTGTGTACAAAGTGAATCATGTGTACTGATCCTCAACACAACCAATAAAATCTCAAATATTGAAGATAAAAAAAAAGTTAAGCACATGATCAACTGAAATGAATCTCAATTATAAATAGGGAAAAAAAATGAAATTTAAAATCTGCCCGACCTCTTGATAATGCTAAGGTAAAGTGAGGGTTGCTAAGGTAATGAAGTTGACATCTCACAGGGAAGTTAGGAACAGAATAAAAGATGACTAGGAGTACTTTTGATTTACAAAGACTTAATTAAATGCTAGGGATGAGGAGTAAGAACCTTAGATTATGCACACAGCTCTTCCATTCCCGGGAGTGCAGAGCCACGATGCCACCAAGCCTCAGACATTATACAGCAATGCAGAAACAGGAGCCAGTAGCATCGCCCCAACACTAATACTGCATTCATGAAAATAAAACCTCACGCTCTGTGTTACGAGGAAGAGAAATACACCTCTGGACGGCATGACCTCATGACTGGGTGTTTCTTCTTGGGCAGAAGTACAAGCCAGAGGTAAGAGGTGATTGTGTCCTTATTGTGTTGGGCCCCAGAAAACACAGGGAAGCCGCAGGACATATGCGATGATGCTGATTGGACTACACTCACAATGTGAAAAATTATTTATTTGTGCTTGATATAATGCAGTCAAAGCAGTAAAGATGAAGTCACTAGAGATGATGATAAGGTCAGAAACCGTGCTATGGGTGAAAGGGCTGTTAAACGCAACACATAACAGGCTGAACTCATTTCCAGGGAAATTAGCTAAGAGCACAGCACTGGGTGAAAAGTTGGTATTGAAAGAAGATACAGGCATTTGTTCACTGTGTCCAACATAATGATGCGTGGCAGGGCAATTATCTGACACCTTCGTCACTAGGGTGTGGCATACCTTCTTGGCCAGCTACCCACATTTATCACACAAAATGTCCTGGAACTTCACAATGCTGATGACAAAAGGAACTCAGTCACTTCACAACTGATATTCCCCACCTGGTTCCCAAACTGCTGTGTGAGCAGAGTCTATTTCTCTAGGAATACCCACAGGGACAAGGAACACCAGGCAGTAATCTAAGTGGGACAGATACTGTGCAAGCTTTTTGGGGGTCCTGTTCTGCCCCATCTGTGAGAAGCTCGATGGAAGTCCATGCACTTGGGCTTCCTCCCCTCTCCAGGTCAGCATGTCTGCCACTTTAGCATTCGCAAGTAGCATCAGCTGCCTTGTACTAAGCACACACTTTGTGCCAGGCATTGTGCTATGCCCTGTCCACACATACTCCCCTTGATGCCCCAACACCCTTGAGATGAACCTAAACTGCAGGTCCTATTTTACAGATGAGAAAACTGAGGCTTAGAGATACAAACGGACAACTCCTAGTCCCATGCATAGTAAACGGTAGTACAGAGATTGCTATGCCCACTGGCATTTGGGTGCCGTGACTGCCACCTGTGGTGACCCAAGCCCTGTCTGTGCTTCCACAGCTGACACCTCCTGCGGCTCCACAGGGACCCTTTCAGTGCCTGAAGGGAGAAGAGCAGCCCCACCGCTTCCCATGAGGCAGAGGGATGCCTGACGAAGGGTTGACAGCAGGTAGGAAGCCAGGGAATCTGGGTCCTATACTTGTCTCTCCCACCGGCTCTCTGTGTGACCCTGGGCACCTCATGAAACCTCTCTGATCTTGTTTCTTCCTTCCTAGAATGAATATACCAACAGCCACGGCTAGATTTATTATTTTTATGGGCTCAGGAACTTCAAAAGTTTATCATTTATGCTTCAGGACAATCTCAAGGTTGTCCCTCTATCAGCCGCTTTCTGTGGATGATGAAAACAGCGCAGAGGCCACGAGCCTCGCGCACAAACAGGTCCTGCGTGGCTGAGGTGGATCCTGGCCACCACACCCTGGGCGTCTGCACTGCGCTACGACCCAGCCGTTTATTTTCTGAGGCAGTCTCACCAGGATGCTACGCTGCCCAAGCCGGGCTCCAGCAGGGGCAACCCCCTGACCACCGCAGACACACAGCCCGGCAGCAGGGCTGTGGCCAGCCCGGCTCATGCCCCCCATCCTTACCTTCCTGCCTCCTCCATCACTGTCTTTCCTGGCACCTCGGCTCTATTACTCGGCTACTGTGTTTTACTCAGCTCGAAAGTTTTTCTCTCCCCAAGAAACAATCATTTGAAATGGAAGCGTCACACTGCCTCGCCAAATGGGCAATCCTAACCGCCACTCGTCACACAAAAAAGATACTCCCCCCGCAAAGGGCGATGCGAAGCCAAGTGACGAATCGAGTCTGGCCAGGAGGTAGGAGAGCTCCAAGCGTGCGACCTACCGAATCGAGCAGAAAAAAGAAAAAGCCAAAACCAAAAGCCAAAGAAGAAGAGGAGGAGAGCCGAGTTTGCGGCCTTGGCGACAGTCTTGCGCGACACGCTGAGCCCGCACCCTTGAACCAGAAAAAGAACGAAACCCCGGGACGGCGTCACGACCGCCCCAACCCTGCGGCTGCCACCTGTCACCACAGCTACACTCACACCCGGAGCACTCACGGCGGCGGCAGGCGACGGCGAAAGCCTCGGACCACGCGAGCTCGGCTGCACGAACCCACGGCGCCGCCTGCCGCCCCCGCAGGGCGCCCGAGCGGCGAGGCGGCCTCCTGGAGCCACTTCCGGCCTCTCTAGGAAGTCCGGAGGCCTCGGCGTCTCTATGTCATCTTGGCCGTGGTGGCGCTGGATTCTTTCAGGGAATCTCTCCACTTCTCCAATCTTACATTCCAGCGTCGCTGGAGCCCTTTCAGGGTCACCTCCACTGCTCCGCCCACCTCCAGCTTTTAGACTTATAGAGTTTCACCTCCGTCTTTGTGTACCCCCAAAAGTAGGTGCAGCATTGACCCAAGAAGGTGCCTACCTCAGTCAGTATTGCTTTGGATGAATTGGATGGGTGGGTGGATGATGGGTGGATGGCTGACCGGTGGGACAGATGAGTGATGGCTCCACAGACTGCTGAATGTTTACTCCATGTATCTTGAAGTCTGTTATCTCCTGGTTTCTCTGTCTATGAGTACCTGTAGTTTTTCCTGTGACCTTGATTATCCTTGGCTAGCTCTATGTGTCTGGCTGCTGGACAAGTAATGATGCCAAAATGATTCTCTGCTGCTGAAGGAACCAAGGGTTGAAGAGCCAAGTGGAAAGGAAAGTTGGCATTTTTTTGTCTCTTGATTAGGACCATGGTTCTATGGAAAGTTGCACACTGTGTGTGTACCCCCATTCCCTCCACCTGTGCTGTAGAATGAATGGCCCCCTGGATGGGAGCGTTTTATTTTGATGACTTGAAGAATGGAAGTTTTCACTGTGTGTGCTGCCCCTAGCATTAAAACAGGTACCACATTCAGATGCCAAGAGGCTTATGGGAATTAAGTCGTTCCCTGCTCGGTTGTCACTGAGAAAAAAGCCATAAGGGTAAATTGAAGTCCTCAGATAGCAAAATGAAGGCCAAAGGAAGCCAAGTCCCTGGCATTGGCCTCTTTAATAGGACCCTGGCTTTCCTGTCTTATACTCAGTTGTGATCCAGCTGTAAGTTTTAGGAACTGAGATAGGTCTGTGCCAGTGGTTTTCAGGGCAGCTCTGTTGTGGCTGCTCAAGATACATAAAGATTAGAAGAGAAAGGAAAGGAACTCTGGGTGGAAGTTATTGAGGCTAGCAGTGTGCTCTTGAGGCTAGCGGCCAAGGAAGGAAAGACCCTTGAGGATGCAGTACGGAAGACAGAGTGTGCGGTGACTCCAGGATCCTCCCAGGGTGCCCAGATTTCCCATGTGTAGATAAGCATGAGAAGTGGTGAATTTAAATGTTAATATTCTTGTACCACCAAGGACTTTCAAAATAGAACCAATGCTTTAAAGGAAAATCACAAACCTTATGATATTCCACTGTAATTTAGTGAGTTAATTTTGTAAAAGTTAGAAGAAGAAATCTGATAGAAATAACCAGGGAATGACTTTGGCCTCAGTGTGCATTTACATGCCAATACTTATTTCATTTTGTTTTCCCCCAGTAATAAATCCAGGAAGTGGTTGCATCTTTGAAAGATCAATTTGCCATCAGACTCCTTATAGGCATGCAATGCTTCATACATGAAGAACGACTTTCATACCTCCCAGCTCACCAGATTCTCACAGAATTTGGTTTCACACAGTAGACAGCAACTCCAGCTAACCTAAATTTAAAAAGCACAAGTTTTAGAATCTCAAAAAGTGTTGAACTGTATAAATTAATAGTAGACATTGCAGTCTTCCTTCAAACTAAGCCCTGAAATATTCAACATTTCTCATCTGAGAAATGCAAATTAAAACTGAGATTCTAGCTCACTCTGAAAAAGGACTACTATCAAGAAAACAACTGAAAATAAATGCTGGCAGGGCTGTGGGGAAAATGAGCTTTTCTATGCTGCTGGTGGGAATGTAAACTAGTACAACCACGTTGGAAATCATAGTGGAGAGTCCTCAGAAAAATTAGGATTAGTGGTCTCGTTTGACCTAGCTATTTCTCTCTGTGTATCTTCCCAGAGAAATTAAAGACATCATACCACATCAATATGGTGTATAATGGGCACACAGTTTGTAAGAGCTCAACCTTGGAAGCCACCCAAATGCCCATCAACTAATGAATGGATTAAAAAGATGTGTTTTCTTTAAAATAAAATGTTGTATTACTAAACCATAAAGAAAGATAAAGCTGAGACACTGATTGCTAAACGGATGGACCTCGAGACCATAAACGTAAGTGAAATGAACCAGACAAGTGTAAATATTGCATTATCTTTCTGATGTGAGAAACTAAACATTTAAAAAGGAACATAAATGTTCAATAGATACTGCGAAATAGGAAGAAACTGTTTGAAAGGGAAAGGGAAATAAAGAGGCGCAGGGGAAAAGGAAGAAAGAGAAGAAAAATTGAGGAAAGAAGGATAAAATGAAAACTGAGCTTAGGGAACAGGGCGGGGAAGGGGTTTGAAATGGGATGGGAAGATGGGAAGGAGAAAAGGTATGTCATGTACAGAAACAAACTCCCTAAAATGGTTGTGGTTATTATGTACACCTAAATTGTACCAATAAGCTTAATTTTAAAAAGGAAAAAATAAACAGTAGTAAGCCCTAAAGCCTCAACTCATTTGTGCAGTGAAAGTCTGTTTCTTACTCCCACCACAGAGTGACTCAGCCTTCAGGAGAAACAGCTCCACTCCTCCTAGGCGTTCGGGACCCAAGCTTGCTTCATCTGCTGCGCCATTGTCTTTGACTCCCTAGTCATTGTCAAAACGGAAGTGTGGGCTTGGCTTCCCCCAGCCTCTATGTAAAGTCTTGAAATTCTTCAACGCCTTCACAGCACTTAGCCAGTGTGAAATGATCTCTTATCTTGCATCTTACTAGAATAAATACTCCACAAGAGCAGACACCTGCTTTAGCGATAGTACATCTCTACTCCCTATTATTGTTTCTGGCATAGAGAGAGATTTTAAAAATTGCTGCATGAATGAGCAAGTGAATAGATGATTGTTCCTGCTCAAAATTCCAAGTTGGCAGCTGAGTCTTTCTTTTGGCCTAGGTTGGGTCGGGAAAAAACCTCTATTGTCACCATCTATGGCAAGGGGTACAGCAACTATCAGTGGCCTACCACTATAAGCTGAAACAATTTCTAGAGAAATCTTGAGCTTGGCAGGTACCTTAAAATGTGCTGCCTCAGAGCATGGATGAATAAATTTGAAATCATGTGAGTGATTATTAGAAGTATTGGGTCTTGGCCTCTCTGACTGTAGATCTAATAAAAATATGCATTGTAACAATATCTCTAAGCAATTATTGTTTATCGTAAAGGACTAGAAGCACTGCCCTGGGAAAGCTATGAACTAATGGTAGTACCACAATAGCTTTCTTTTTAAAAATTCCTGTATTTATTTGTTCATTTGGTACAGGGTCTTGCTACGCAGCTTGGACTCATAGTGATCCTCCCGTCTCAGCCTCTCCAGCACCGGGATTACAGGCTTTCGCCCCCACGCCTGGTTTCGGTGGCCGGCACAGCGTGTAGTACCCCAGATTGAACCTGTGTCCTTGCGCTTTCCAGGCAGGCGCTTAGACCACTGAGCTATCTCCTTAGCCCCACAATAGCTTTCTAAGGTAGAAAGGGTTCTAGTTCCAAACTATCCCTGTAAACCAAGTGAGGGTTCGTGACATGGCCAGGGTCACAGAGCTGAAAGATGACAAGCCTGAGATTCAAGCGGAGGCTTCTAGGTCCAAGTTCCTTCCTTCTTGATGCTCTTTCTACCCTGCTGCTGTATCTTTGGGACAGACCTATTTTCTTCTACTAATGAGCAAAAATTAAAAGGGAAATAAATAGAGAGCAAGCCAGCCCCATTTAAATGGTGGTTAATGATTTCAAGAATTGATTTGGTTTAGAAAAAGAAGTAAGCATTCATTACTTACAGTGCATTTGATAAAATGTTTTTCCCGTTACATATTAAAGAACTCTTCAAGCAACGTAATGAATGTTTATATTTCATTTATTCAGCAATTAAGCATCTTAGCATTTTTATAAGCATTTATAGCACTTATTAAGAATTATCAAGCATCCTATTTGGGTCAACGATTTCTCTTCTTCCTTTTACAAACTTTTGAAATATCTCATTAGTGATTATGCTTCTTCAGTACTGTTTAGATACTGCTGACTAAAATTGGGTGCTATCCTGAGTGTCCTGGCCAAGGGCTGCCTGTTCTGGGGACTTAAAGGACTCCTGAGATACTGCAGTTTATGCCTGCCACTTGGTTCTTAAGTGTTTTCAGGACCTGAGTAGCAAGAATATCAATTATAATTGGGAATTTTTAAATTGCGAGTCCTGGAAATTCACTTGAATATAGGTGAAGCAGAGGTAGGAATGGTTGGATCTTGTAACCAAAAGCTCAAAATAGTATACCTACTGTAGTGCCTTAGATACCATCATCTGTTTCTTTACCTCTCATTTCACCCTGCTACTGTTTGGTTGACCTTCTCCATGTAGAAATAAGATGGGATTTGTTGGCAGGGAAAGCCAAAGGCTTCCTCATACCCTAGGTCTTTTAGAAAGACTTTTTCCTATGAATTCTAGTAAAAGTCCTAACAAAGACTCTGATTGGTTAATCATAGGGCATGTGTCCACTTCTTAACCAATCATTGTAGCTGGGAGATACCATTCTGATTGTTGAGATTCTATTATTATCCAAGTCAAGATGATACATTTGTAATAATTTGCAGTTGTAATAAATTACCAAAAACCTAGTGGTGCAAACCCCCATATATTTATTCTCTTATAGTTGTACAGGCAGAAATTGGAATCGCCTTCATTGGGCTAGGGTCAAGATACTAGTGTGGTTCCCTGTCTGGTGGAAGAACCAGGGAACAGTGATTTCCTTGC